ATATATATATATATATATATATATAAACTTGATGAGTAGTATTTCGAGCCAAAACGAGCCGAACACGAACGAACATATCTTAGTTCGTGTTCAACTCGTTAACTTATCAAACGAAATTAACGAACTGTTCGCGAACAACGAGCCGTTTTGAGAGCCCTAGTTTCAACTATCTAGACACACACGAGTAATAAATCCATTTTTATTTCAGTAGAACACATAAATGTTAAGACTTTTTTTATCAAATGCCTTGAGTATGCATTTTTTTCGATTATAGAAATCAGTGCTAGCTGTACGACAATGAATATAAATTTTAATTTAATGAAAAAAAAAATATTATTTTTTGGTGAGCTGTTTATATGCAAGCTGTGACCATAACTTTATTATGCTTATTAATGTAAAAAACTTAATAAATCTGCATCAAAATATATTATTTCTTTTTAATTACAAATTTTTTTTTTATCATTTTTGTGAAATTATTAATAGTTTTTTATCGTGAATGAATTATTTACAATAATTATTCTTGAAATACGATATTTTTTTATGTTTGTCTTTCATTCATTCAATACCTGAACCATGTATATATTTAGACTTTTGATGGTTATGATGCACCAATACTTAAATTCATTTAAGTTTTATATTTTCAATTTAAAACTTAAATGAATTATATTGCAAAAATAGCTTAACAACTACTTGTTGTGTAAAGGAAGATTAGTGGCATTAGAGTAGTTATTAAAGAAAAAAGTTCTATAAAATAGACACTAGAGTTCTTACATGAAAAATTTTAAAAGGGGAAAAGTTATAGCCTGGCTCAATTGTAATAATTTCATTATTATATATCATAGTTACAAAATAATGTTATTCAATATAATTAGGGATGGCAATGTTATGCTATAGCCATGAATTGTGTATAATAAATTTTAAAGGAGTCTTGGAGACTTTGAAAATGTTTTCGAAAAGTTGGATGCGCCGTTTAATCTATTTTTTTTATTACTTTTTAGGAAGAAGATCCAATAGACCAAGAGACCTAATATGATATTGATGCAGATGAGTTACTTGGGCCCTAATAATGATTACATGGATCACTACAACCAACAAAGATGAAGGATGGAGCGCTTGTGTTTGTAGTTTGTATTAGCATATAAGTGATCGCAAATGATGATATTGAGAGGTATCAGCTTTGTTGTTGGCAAGCAATAAGACTAGCAAGTAAAAAACTGGATGACACTGATTGAGCAATGGTGGTCAAAATATCATAATTGGGTGATTGAGTTTGACGTGATTAAGATATCGTTATCAGATGACAAAGGTCAAGCAACCATTGACTAACAACCATAAAAAGAGCAACGAATGTCATACATTTATAGTCAGACGATAGTGGTCAAAGGATAATAATTTCGTGATGTAGGTCAATAAATTATAAAAAAAGCGCTTGTAATCAAGTGTTTGTGATCGGATGTCAGAGGTCAGTGCTATAGTTAGATGGTCATTGTTCGTGAACAGCTCGTGTTCGGCTTGTTAAGTAGCTCGTGTTCAACTCGTTTGTTAAGTAAACGAGCTGAACACGAACAAGTTTTTAAACCTCGAATTATAACCGAGCCGAACACAAACAACTCTCTGTTCGCTCGTGTTCGGCTCGTTTTAGCTCGAAATTAAAAAATATATATAATTATTTATATAATAATATATTATATATATTTATATCTAAGCTTAAATCATAATTTCTCGTGTGGTAATATGGTTAGTATTTTCTTTTATATGCATTTTGTCCATGTTCGAATCACACATTTTACATCTATTTTTTTTCAATTTAATTTTTCCGAGCCAATTTGGAGCCGAACACGAGTCGAACACGAACATGAATATTTAAATCGAGCCGAACACTAACACACTGTTCACGAGCCAATTTCGAACACGAGCTATTTCAAACGAGCCAAGACTGAGCTCGCTTAAGCTCGGCTCGTTTACAGCCCTAGTTATAGCTGGAGAATGGAGATCAAGTGACCATAATATGGCAACAAAAGTTAAGCTAATATAAACATGTGATTGTTGTTAGGCGACAGTGTTCGGACAATCGTAGTTGGGTGATGATGGTTGAGAGATCATAGATAGGCAACGAAGGTCGGGTGATGGTAGATGTGTGATGAAGGTCAGACGATTATATATGGGTAATTATGGTTGGACAATTTTAGCAAGGCAATGATGTAGGTCAAATGACTGCAGTCTTACGACTGTAAATGAGTGGTTGTAGCTTGACTACAATTGATCAACAAGGTGTTGGAGGTTAAACAATTAAAGTTGAACAACCATAGTTGTGCGATGAAGGTTGAGAGACTTTAGTCATGCATCGATGGAGGTCGAATGGTTGTAGTCAGGGTGACAGAGGCCAGATGGTCGTAGTTAAACAATGTACGATGGACAACACTTCACCAGTGATGGTTTGATATTGGTGATGAAGCGACAATGGCTAACGTTGCTTGCTGGTTGAGAACATTCCGACAACCTTGAATGGGCAATGATATTGTAATTATGGTTGATCAACGATGGAGGTCTAACTTGTTGATTAAGCAACAATGGTCTAATGGTGATGGTTGGAAGGAGGCAATCAATAGCAGTAGATATGCGGTAGCGATTTGATGATGATGGTAATATGATAGTTAAGGATGATAGGTGATGATTCGATTGTGGTGTGCTCGTAATTAGCATCTGACAGGGATAATCAAATGATGGTAGTTCGATGGTGGTGAACGAATGATACGGTTCAAAGATAATGAACAAGTAGTGGCAAACTGATTAATGATGGTCAACAACTCGGCAATATTGCATAAGCAATGATGGCTTAGCAGCAAGAGACCAACCATAGCATTTTAATGGTGGTAGTTAGATAGTGATGGTTATACAATTATACACCAATAATAGAGATTCGGATAGCAGCAACCTAATGATAATGGTTAGATAATGGCTATGGACTAACGATGATAATCAATAGTGGTGGGCCAATGACAACTTTCATATGGTTGTTGTCTAATAGAGGTTGATCAACAACCATAGTTAGATATCGTTGGTCTTGTGAAGGTGAATTGAGATGGTGGTCAAATGGTGATAATTCTGTGACGACAAATAGATAATGACAACTGATAATGGCTTGACAATGGCGTATATGCAATATTGGGCTGACGATAGTGGACAAACAACACTGGTCTAATGGCATTAAGCGAAAGATGATAGTTAAGTAGATGTAATGATTCTTGTGAGCTTTAAGAAATTTTTCATTTTCAGTTTAATTTCAGCCTCTAGCCCTCATAGGCCATCCCTTCATGTAGATAGTGGGGACTTATTTATAAATTTTAAAAGTGAGATACTTCGCAAAAACTTCCAAAATTATTAACACTCCCCCCTAGAGTAATTCCCTTGATTACAATGTATTTTTTGAGTGTTGGAGCACCTTAAGGATGTTAAGAATAAGCAATTTAGTGTTGTTTTGTTTGCCTTATTGAGATGCTCGATTACTTTATGCTTGCAAGATTTATAGATCATTTGGTTAATTGATATCACAAAGTTTTCTATTACGCTTTAAGTACTTAATAGTGGTTAATTTACACTTGCATTAAATCACTTTTATTGTTATATGTTTTTTTCCTGTTGACATGTTCAATTTGATTATATTTGCTAAAATTTGAGTTTGAATGGTTTTAAATTTTATTCTTGAAGCTACGAATCCTAAAATTCTTAGATATTCACATCTGATCAAGAAAATTTTTTTGGTGATGCATTACTACGTTTTTTTTACATTTTAATTGTTTTTATGTTTTATTTATTTTTTTATCAATTTTTTTTTTAAATTTAAGCTGAAAATTTATAGTATTATGTGACTATTTATTTTTTAATTGAATTTAAATTTTTTAATAAATTTATAATGTTTATTTTTATGATCAAGTAAAATAAATTATTATAATGTGCATTTATATTACATTTATTTAATTTTTATAATTATTAAAAAAAAGTTCTAACCCTAAACTTATAATATTAAATTCAATGTGTGTACATGCTCTATATTTCAATAATTGAGCTTCATGTTTTTATTTCATATTGTATATAAACTCATATGTTTATTTATATATCTTTTTTTAAAAGCAAAACCAGAGCCTATTCATTCCAAAAGGGGCAAAAATTACATGGGTTAACAACGAATGTAAGGGAGACAAAGATTGCCCCCATGCAACAAAATTTAGGAGGAGGTGGAAGTTGTTAAATGATAACAAAAAGCCTTTTTTAGCAATATTTATATATCTTTTTTAAAAGCAAAACCAGAGCCTATTCATTCCAAAAGGGGCAAAAATTACATGGGTTAACAACGAATGTAAGGGAGACAAAGAAGGCCCTCATGCAACAAAATTTTAGGAGGAGATTGAAGTTGTTAAATGATAACAAAATGCCTTTTTTAGCAAGCCAATTGATTAGTTGGTTCCCTTTTCTTAAACTGTGACTAAAAATAATGTGTAAGTGTTTGGCAAGCTTCTTGATTCATTTGTGCCAAATGATGAGATTCCAAGGAGTAGTATTTTTTGTCCTTTAGTATCTGAATAAGATGCAAAGAGTCAATGCCAACATGTAGATGTCTGCAATGCATGTGAGTAGCAATCCTTAAATCCATCCAAACAACACATGTTTTAGCTTCAATGAAGTTTTGAAAATGGAAATGGGGGTGAAAGAAGAAAAGACACCTATCATTCCAATCTCTAATACTCATCCATCACCAGCACCATCAGTTAGAAGGCTCTCATCAGTTTTCACCTTGATTCATAGTCTTTGTGGTACTTCCAAAAAAATCTGTTGCACTTTCTTTGTCTTCAGTATTCTAACAAGTGTATTCATTTGTTGCATTAGTTATTGCATCTCCTTTATGCAACTTCCCTGGATTTTGCCAAATTACACTATCTTATGGATGAATACTATTATGTTGGCCACCACTTTGTCCTCCCTAACATAGATGTATTCATGCTTGATAGAGTTTTGAGCCATTCTAATGAACCACATAGTGATGAAAGAAGTTAGCTATGATAATTTTCTAGTTTTGTTGTGGCTGCTGACATGCCTAAAAATGTGCTACTTTTTTATATACATCTTATGCTTATTTTTAATGATATTGCACTTTAATGGAAGATATTTTGCATGTTTTTAGTTTCAGGTACAATATATGAAATTTTGGAGAAAACGAAGCAAAAAATGTAGCAATTTGGAGTCAAATGGAGCAAGGTATAACACTTGGAGAAAATTGGAGTGAATTGGAGCTAAAATGGGGCTAAAAAGGCAATTTGAGTAAGTGGAAAAAATGACCTAGCGCCTAGACGCCAAATTCTAGCGTTGAGGCACCAGTTCTAGCGACATGGCGCCACATTCTAGTGTTTAAGCACCTGAAGTGACTCATGAGGGATTTTGAGGGATATTTCAAGAGAGTCTTTTGACACCCATGGTGAGGTTTTTAGGGGAGAAGAGTAGAGAGGAGGTGTGTGTGTGTGTGTAAGGGGTGAAGTGTCTTCTGGAGTTTTGGTGACTTTTGGGGCTTTGGAAAGGAATGTAAGGGATTGTTATTTACTGTGCAAGGAGGGCATGAATCTACTGTAAAGATAAGTTTTGGACTATTTTTATATTTTCTTTAAATTATTGCAATATAGTTGTGTGATTTTAATGTCATTTCCAATGAAGAATCTATGTTTTTTTTCAATTCTTAGTGAGTAGTTTTCCTTAATCTTTCTCTTTGTGATGAGAATTGATCACATGTATGATTAGAATTGTTTAAGATTTTTCTTATTCCATACTTGTGATGATTCATTACTTTGTACCTAATTTACATATTCGATTTGATCAAATGGTATGTTAAAATTTGTTGTGAATCCATAATGACTCGGGAGGGCTATGTGCTCCTCAACTAATAAGAATCACATTAATCTCGTGGATGAGAAGGTAATCAATGGGTTAGTGCAAATAGATATAGAGATGAGTTTTGATGGGCGTAAATTGGTGATTCTAGGGTGACATGCTAGAACCTTAACCAATTTGATCTAGAGTTTGAAACCTAAGAACCGATTAGTCTTATAGAGAGGACATAGTAGGTAATCTAGAAGTGAGAGGCTAGAACCTATTCATCTTAACCT